GATCTTCAAAGGTGTTCACACTCCAAGAGACCTCGCTGTTCCAGACACTGTTCGAGTATCGTTCCACAAGAAGGGCTGGATGGATGAAAAAGGTAATGTTGATAATCGCTCGGCTTATAGTCCAATAAACATTGAATTTCGAATCTTGTTGAGAACCCGTAAATTTTTTTTGGCGAAAATACTCGGCTATAAGCCGAACCCCCTACCTTGGTGAGAATTTACCTGTTCTCAGTTTAATTTGCTGGAAAAATCGCTCGGCTTACAGGCGAATAAATACGGCATGTTGCCCTCTTCACGTGCATGGTATCACGAGCCGTGCATCTTGTAGTCTCGAACACCTTGGAAACTGACTTGTTCCTCAACGCCTTGCGTCGTTTCATTTGCAGAAGGGTTCCAGTATGTCAGCTGCACAGCGATCAAGGAACGAATTCCATTGGAGCCAAATGAGAGTTCCACGAAGCCTTACAGTCTATGGATCAAAACAAGATCAGCGCTGGGTTGCTGAAAGAGAATTGCAATTGGATGACCTTTAAAATGAACCCCCCCGTCAGCCAGTCAAGCAGGAAGAGTATGGGAATGCCAGATCAGGACAATTTGCTGCGTATTATCAGCCCTATTGGAGAAAAATGAAACTACCTTGGATGGAGAATCCTTTCATATGCTGATTTGTGAGACCAAAGCGATCATGAACAGCCACCCGCCGTACTTAAGTGATCCAGAGTCACCATCTCCACTAATGCCAAATCATATCCTTCAACTGCAGTTTAAACACATATGGGATATAAAAAACTTCAAAGAGGAGTCTTTTGTAGAGGATTTCTCTATGCTTTCCACGTTTGTCTGTAGAAAAATTGGACAAAAAATTTGCGAACAGAAAACAAGCAGCCTTCCAATGGAAAGATTAAAACCAGCATCAGCATGGGATGCTACAGCTCTCAACTTTTTAAGAAAAGAATGACAGGAAAAGCCTACGGATTAATATTCAATTGTCTTGCAACAAGAGCTGTTTATGTAGATGTTTCGCCTGATTACAGATTTGAGAAATTCCTAATGGCACTAAGACGCTTCATATCTATTAGAGGCTATCCATTGAAACTATACTTGGACAACAGAGCTCAACTTGTAGCAGCCAATAACGAATTAAAGAAAGTAGTAAAAGATCTAGACTCGAGATCACTTCAACAGTTTGGAGTAATGCAAGGTCTCAAGTGGATCTCCTCATCAGCTGATGCTCCATGACAGAATGGTTTATCCGAAGCACTTATTCAATCAGTTAAGAG